GAAAAATGGGTCAATCCAAGGGAAGATATAATAATTATGAATATATATGCAACTGACACCTAAAATACATGAAGCAAAAACTGAAAGAATTTAAGGGACAAAGGAGTGTATAATAATATTTGGAGACTTCAATACTGTCCTTTCAATAATAGAAAGAACAATTAGAAGAGTAAAGAGAGGACTTGAAAAATACTATAAACCAACTATACCTAACAGATACATATAGAAACACTCCACCCAACAACAGCAGAATATACATTCTTCTCAAGAGCACAAGGAACATTTTAAGCCACAAAACAAGTCTCAGTAAATTTAAAAAGCTTAAACTCATACAAAATATCCTCTCTGAATACAAGAGAATGAAACTAGAAATTCATTAACACAAGAAAATCTGGAAAATTTACACATGTATGGAAACTAAACACCAAACTCTTAAACAACCAATGGGTTAGAGAAGAAATCACAAGGGAAATAATTAAGGTATAGCTGATAGCGTTTACAATGTATAAAGTGGGAGAAATAAAAAGAACAGACTCATCTTGAACAGTGCAAACTTCAGAGCTATGGTCTATAGCAGATAGAACAAGAAATAGGGATTTACTTATATATAACTTATAAAAGTTACCACTAAGAGAATTACAGATATACAGTTCGGGGAGGAAAGGAGGTTGAGTAAGCTGAATCTTCATCTATTATAGCAAGAAGTATATACATACCTAAATCTTATTAACAAACCAGCATGATACACATTTAAAGATTTGGTAAAAAAAAAAAAAAGAGTCAGTAAAACATACTTAAAAAAAGAATAAATCACATAAGTAAAAGGAAAATAATGTGAATGAAGAGCGTCAACTATGTCAAATGCTGTGGGGAGATCAAGTAAAATAAGGAGTTACAAGTCAAAAAACCAATTTGGATCCTTTGGTTAAGAACCCCTAGTTTAGACAAACACAAAGGATAATAAGGGATAGAAACATGTGTAACTTTCAGATGCAAGATACAGTATAGGAATCACATAATCACCAACTACATTAAAGAAAAACTTGCCATCACTCAAAGTCCTAAGTAACTGATTTTGCATTATAGCCTCTACCAATTATTCACTGTCTGTCCCTAAAGTTTTATTTTTCCACTTCCACATAGAATATTTTCTGGGGCTCCTCAATTTACTAGTTTTCAGTTCATTAAAAAAGGGTCTGACAAAGAAAATGAAATAGTGTTTCCGTGGCACTTTAAACTTTTATATTTGTAGAAAGTAAATCTTCTGCCAGAAATTGTGGATCTCTTTCCTAATGATTCATCATTTACTCTTTACAACCTCTCTGTTGAACATACACATCACTTTTCCCACCTCTCCCAAACTCTTCTGCTGTGCTCCTTGCTTAAAAGCCTTTGATTTTGTGGAATTCCTAATAAAAATCCTGAAACTCTTGGCAGTAAGTATTAGACACAACAATTTTCACTAACAGATACTTCCTCTTTCTCCTGGAACTGACTCCTTGTTTTTGAGACCATAAAAGAGAAGACTATAATTTTAAATTATTTTAGAGGGTATAAAATATTTGGCCATGTGCCACTTTAGAAGTTTAAAATGTCAAGAAAGTCACATTAGTAGCTCAGAATCTGCCTATCAGAGATAGTTTTGCTGCATGAAAGAGTCATTTAATAAAAAAGATATTCGGTGCAGCTGCCAAAACCAATAAAACCTGAATAGTGAACAGTCTTGTAACGAGAGCACAGGATGCACAGCAGAGCCTGGAAGGAGATAGGGCTGGTCATTTGTGCATATTTTGGCTCCTGGTTCCACACCTAGTCCCACCATTAGTAACTTCAGTGCCACAATAATGGTTTCAACTGATCTTTTCTCTGGTGATTTTCACTTTTACTCTTCTCCACCAACCCATTCCCACTGTCACAAAAATGGCCTTCGGAATGCTTTTGATATTGTCATTACTGAGATATGTTGTCCCTTTAAAATCTCCAAGCTCAGAAATTCATCCTTACCATAAATTCCCACTATTTCATCTTATTATTAACCCTCTTACTTCATATACCCATCTTTGACTTTCTTTAGACAATTAGCCCAAGAAATATAAAATTTTCTCCCACTCTGTTGGCAGCCTTCTGTTTTTTAATCTCTTAAAAATCTAGTCAGGACTATATGACCTATCATTTCTTTTTGTCATCACACTTGAATTTTTTCTCTTCTCTTTCATCTCTTATCTTCTTGTTCTTCATCGGACATGTAGTTTCTCAACTGTTACACTTAGCTACTCTGTGCACCTGAGATAAACTCACTCAATAATTCTGGCTATAGTTGCTACAATTTGGTTGGCTATAAATCTGGTTGCTACAAATCTGGCTATAGTTGCTACAATGAGGTCTCTAACCTCATTTAGTCCCTCAGAATTTTCCTTTAGTCTTTCAACATTTTCCCACTTAGCTTCCTCTGGATATCAAACAAGACCTAAAAAAACAGAGAGACATACCATATTTCTTAAAGTGATGTTATTGTCATAATGATGCTAATTCTTCTGAAATTAATAAGTAAACTTAAAAGTGATTTTAATAAGATCTTCAACATTTCTATTTCTATTAAATTTTTTTTATGTTTACATGGAAAAATAGGTGTGTGAGAATCAAAATTTATAAAGAACAGAGAAAGCATATTTTCCCTACTAGTTATTAAAACCTACTAGAAAATTACTATAATCAAGAGTCTGGTATTGGCATAAAAACAAAGAAGTAGATTAGTAGATGGAAATTTGGAATGGACATTTCAAAATATACCCACATATTTGTGGGAATTTAACATATGATAAAGATGGTATTTTATTAAAAAAGAAGGAATAGTTGAAGAAAAGCTATCAGGAATTGACTTGTCAATTCAAATAAAATCAAAGTAGGCCTAATATTATACAAGAGCTGTCTAGAAAGTAACCAGCTATGTAATATGAAAAATAGTATTAACAACGGCTGAATACTTTCTGGACAGCCCTTGAGAACAGGTATAAGTAGTACATATTAAAGTACTAACTTTTAAAACCTTATTAATATATGAAAATAAAATTTTCAAGGTTACTTGGATAAACTTAGAACTGAGAAGTGTTTTTAAGAAAGATAGAAAAAACATTTTTAAAAAATCAGAAATAGAACTGACATGTATTATTTCATAAATCTAAAGCCCAATTCTATAAAGTTTTAACATTATAAAGTATTATTGTTCTAACTAAGTAAAATTATATTTTGATATTTAGATAATGTTAAATATAGCTCTGGGGCTATATAAGAATGGTATATTATGTAGTTTTAAAAATTATCACATTTTAGAATTTTTATTCTTGTTGCCTTATTTTTCTGGCTAACAGAACTAAGAAGTTATACATGTAGATTCCCAAGGGAGCTGAAGGAAATATATTGATATAAACTAATCCTATAACTAAAATTTAAAAAGTATATTTCTCTAAACATATGTAAGACTCCAGAAAATTTCCAAAACATTGTTCAAATGGTCAAATTACTTCCTTTATTACATTATGTATATACAAAAGGCTAAAAAGAATTCCAGCTAAAAAACTTGCCATAAAAGCTATATTATTTTTAGTTTAAAATATGTTTTAGAATTTGGTTAAGATAATAAGACAAGTGTGTTTCATCAAATTAAACAAAATTGAACTGTATTCTACCTTTGATTTTTAGGCTTTATTTTTAAATACAGCCAGCCCTCTGCTTCAGTGGGTTCTGTATCCATGAATTCAACCAAATGGATCAAAAATATTCAGGAAAAAAATTCCACAAAGGTCCGAAAAGCAAAACTTGAATTTGCTGCATGCTGAGTACTAAGCTAAATCCATGTGAGTGAAGTGATGTGTAGCACTGGGTTAGGTCTTCTAAGTAATTCAGAGATGATTTAAAGCATACAGCAGGATGCCTGCAGGTTATACACATATGCAAATATCATCACCATTTTATTAGGTAAGGAAATTGAGTGCTCACAGATTTTGGTATCAGTGGGGGTCTTGGAACCAATCCCCATGGATACTGAGGGACAACTGTCTATGTATATATACATATACATGTATTTAAATTATAAAGATATATATGCTGTTTGTTCCTCTCATTTCCTTGATTCCAATGTGCTTTCTTAAGAGGAAGAGAAATATGAGGAGTCTAGATAGTGTACTCAGAATTGCTCATAAACCTGGGGATATGTATCATGTGCCTGAAAAGAGGTCGTAAGCCACTGGAGTGACAGATAATACAGACCACAACCAGAGCATTCAGATTTTGGGCCACATTGCTAAGTACTTTTAGTTAAGGACAAAGGTTTGTGCTGGCTGCTGGGGAGACAGTAGTCAAGAGGATCAACAGACATTCCTTTCCTCATAAAGATTGCCATCTTGTGGGGAAGGCACATATGAAACAACTAATTACCAACTAGTTATTTAATAAGGGTTATGGCAAATACTAAGGAGAAGTGCAGGGTACTGAGAGAGAAAAGGGGTATCTGATCTAATCTCTGCAGTTAGTTAGGGAATGCTTGGGCGGGGGGGGGGGATGTGAGGGATGAGCTTGAGTTAGCTAGGGCAGGATCAGAGAAATGGGGCAGAGAAGAATAGAGCAGAAAAACACTATTTTTCGTTCTGAAATAGGAAGTAACTGAACTGAAAGAAAGGCAGTGATGCTGCAGGCAGAAGGAAGAGGTTGACACTTCAGGATAAAATAGATGAAGTGGGCAGAGGGCCTCATAAACTACGGTAAGTAATCCAGACATTTTCTTATAAAAAATAGGAAACCAGTGAAGATTTTAACTAGGAGAATGTTGTAGTCAAATTTACATTTATAAATCTTAACTTCTTAATTTAAACTTCTAATTTTAGTAAATTTTCTTAAGAAAACTATTATTTTAAAATAATTATTACATGTGAAATGGTTTCCCAGTCCCACCCCATATTCAATTCTCTAGGGATGTAGCATCTTAAAAGAATGCCATTGCATACCCTGTTTCCTCTGGAGATGCAGAGATGGTGCTGCCATCAATCTGACAGGGGTCCTGAGAAGGAAAGTCAGAGTCTTTTCTATCTTGAGTTGAAGCAATATTGGCTACTCGTTGCTGCAAGTCCCACTTTCGAGCTACGTTGTTAATTGTTAACCTTTTCTTCTCCTATGAAAAAGTTAATTGTGACAAGAATTATATAACACAGTTTTTGTTGCAGAAGTGACGTCTAAAGAGCATACTGTTTAAACCTTCTTATAATACTTTTAAAAGGAGCCTATTCTTTATAAGTAGCTACACCATGTATATTCTATATTTGCTAAGATTTTAGCATGTATGCATGACATTAGGAATAAAAGTGATGTGGCTTGCTTAATTAAAAGTAAACTTTTTAAAGTTCTATTTCTGTGTTTAAAAATGTTTTTAGGTATGGTGGTATATACCTGTTATCCCAGCTACTTGGAAGGCTGAGGCAGGAGGATCCTTTTGTGCCTGTGAATAGCTATTGCACTCCAGCTTGGGCCACACAGTGAGAGCTTGTCATGAAAAAAAAATGTTTTTGGCCTGAGTTTTTTTCTATTGCTTGGTACTTCAAATTTATCTGTATAGTTGAGTTACACCTACTATGTATATACTTTTGAGCCTTTTGACATTGTATGTATGTATCCCTTGTCTAAAGCAAGTAGAAATCTTCTATTCTATTGCAAAAAGTCTTTCTCTAACCTATAATAAAATGGCATATTATCTAAAGAAATTTTATTTCAGTTATTTGCTAATGACTGTGCCAACCCAATTCTTTATCTAAGCAATGCTGTTATTTTTACTCAGGACCAAGGCTACTTTGAAAAGAGGTTCTGGGCAGTGAGTAATGGAGGATGGCTCACATATTGGTGCCAAGCATTTGTCTTTCTGGGTGACAGGAACTGGCAGAAAGAATATTCTTAACGAGGTAGAGATAGCAGTGCTTAGAAGTAAAGTATAAAGTATTTTTATTCCACTGAGTATGTTAACAATGGTGTAACAGGATAGTCTTTGAAAATGCAAACACTTTCCCTATACCTGTGCCAAAGTTAAACTTCCTTTACTTGAGTTATTAAAATCAAATCAACACCAGGTTGACTAAGAGAACAGTTAATTTTACTGGGGTCCAGAAAAAGGAAGAGATATTCTAAGAAAAGAGTGTGTAGCCGGGGTCAGGTGGGGATCACCGGCTTAGCCAGGAAGCCACAAAAGAACTCTTGGCATATGAGGAGCAAGGAAAAAAGAAGCAGAAAGGCTAGAGATTCTTCAAGGCAGAAAGGGGTACCTAAGAAATTATTCTTAAGGATCAGGGAAACATTTGGCATATCAGCTACAACAATGTTTCTAATAGCTAGATGCCAATAACTTGCCAAATCTATTTTAAAATGACAAATATTTTAGAAGATGCCAAATTTCACGTTTTGACATTTAAGTCAATTATTCATAGTCCAGGCAAGACCACACCAGCATATGCCATAACTATCACTCCCTCTCATTTCCAAGGTCACAAGGAAAATAGAAAGATGGAAAAGCAATAAGGCAGAAGCTGTGTGTCTATGCACGCTTCCTGTCCTATAGCCAAACCATCCCACTTTCTTAATGATTAATAAGTAGGGCTGCATAGAACAATCCTCAGCAGATACTGAGGCTCTATTACATCACAATTCCAACTCTGTTTTAGTGCTGGAAATGGACTTCTGATGACCTGTGATTTTCCTCTTATTAAAAATAAAAATGCTAAATAATCCTCCTAACTAAAGAGAATCACTACTTTATGACTTCAAGAGAAACTTTAGCTTTTTCCTACAGTTTTCTTAAAAACTTTTCAAATATTAAAAAAAAAAGTTTGCTAAAAGTATTTTTTATTAAATCATAGCTGTGTAAATTAATGCAATTATGGGGTACAATGTGCTGGTTTTATATACAATTTGAAATACTTTCATCAAATTGGTTAACCTAACCTTCACTGCATTTTCTTAGTTATTATGTTAAGACATTTATATTCTACACTTAGTAGATTTAACATGTACCCTATAAAATGTACCATAAGTGTGGTCCCACCAATTACCCTCCTTCCACCCATCATCCCTCCTCCTCTCCCCTCCCATCCTCTTTCCCCTTCATCTTGGGCTATAGTTGGGTTATAGTATTCATATGAAAGTGTGGGTGTTTATAAATTGGTTTCATAGTAGGACTGAGTATATTGGATATTCTTTCTTCCATTCTTGAGATACTTTGCTAAGAAGAATATGTTTCAGCTCCTTCCAAGTAAATATAAAAGAAGTAAAGTCTCCATCTTTTTTAAGGCTGCATAATATTCCATGGTGTACACATACCGTAATTTATTAATTCGTAATTAATACCGTAAATACCGTAATTTATGGGTCGATGGGCACTTGGGCTTCTTCCATGACTTAGCAATTATGAATTGGGCTGCAATAAACATTCTGGTGCAAATATCTTTGTTATAAAGTGATTTTTGGTTTTCTGGATATAGACCTAGTAGAGGAATTGAAGGATTGAATGACATTTTTCCCCAAATGGTGATGGAAAGAAGCAGCTGAATTGGGTATATAAAAAATTTTTTTTCACTTAAAAGATGAATTTCAAGTGCAATTTAGTGCCTAGACTAGGCTCTTCTTATACCACTGATGAGCTAAATCATCAGTGGAATTTCTCTGTTCATTCCTCCCTTCCATGCTCTAGGAGTGGTCTATAAGTCTGACAGCTTTATGTATGTATACAAGTATTTCATTTATTCATTCACTTATGTATCTCACAGTAGCAACTGCACAGTGAGGAATGCTACCTTTTTCTAAATTAACTATTCAGAATGGTTTGCCAATAACATTAGGTGGTAATGGTGTATCTTGCTACTATACATTTTAAAATACTGCCAACAGCTATATTTCCTATAAAGCAAGTTACTTTTGGCCAACCTTTAGGAATACTCCAATACAGGAAAGATTGCAAAATTCTGTTGACTGAATCAGCAAAAGGTAGTTATATCAGAAGAGGGCATAAGCAAAGTTAATTCAGGGGTTGGAAATAATAATGGATACAAGTTGGGGAGAATTCAGGTTAGAGGTAATAGCAGGGGAGGAAATTGCAGCATATTGAGAAAAAGCTCTAATTTGAGTTGTAGTCCTGAGCTGAGAGGAATTGGGAACAAGTTTTTTTTTTCCTTTTCTGTTAATTTAGGAATAGTTTTTATGGAGTAAAACAGATTTCCAGGGCACGGATTCATTCACTTTGATAAATGCAGATAGCTGTGTAACCCAGACTCCTGTCAAGATATAGGACCTTTCCGTCACCCCAGAAAGTTCCCCAATGTCCTATGGTTACTACGTCTTTCTTTGTATCCCTGTAAGTCATTTTTTTAGAGATGGAATCTACTGTGTTACCCAGGCTGGGCTCTAATTCCTGGGATCAAGCAATCCTCCTGTCTCAGCCTCCCAAGTAGCTGGGACCATAGGTGCACACTTACATGCCTGACTAGCCATTTTTAAAATTCTGAATGCCATTTTAATCTAAAAAGATAGGCACCTGAACAAGACAAGAATGAGTAATAATAAGCTGATCTTTATTTATTATACTTTGTGATGTTATTATAAAATGGTTAAAGAAAATATTTTATTTTAGGAAGGTAATATATGTTAAATCAGTTAAAACCAATTTTTTAAAAATTCACATTCCTCAAGTTATAAGAATTCTTACCACTTCTACCATTAGAGGAGCTAAAAGAAAAACTTTTTTAAACTTATAAGCTATCATTAAAAAAAAAAAACACACACACACAAAAAACCCATGTGGCAGGGTTCATTAAAATACACCAGTAAAGGCTCGGCGCCTGTGGCTCAACCGGCTAAGGCGCCAGCCACGTACACCCAGGGTGGCAGGTTCGAATCCCCGGCCCGGACCCGCCAAACAACAATGACGGCTGCAACCAAAAAATGGCCGGGCGCTGTGGCGGGTGCCTGTGGTCCCAGCTACTTGGGAGGCAGAGGCAGGAGACTCGCTTGAGCCCAGGAGTTGGAGGTTGCTGTGAGCTGTAATGCCACGGCACTCTGCCCAGGGGGACAGCTTGAGGCTCTGTCTCAAAAAAAAAAAAAAAAAAAAATACACCAGTAAAGATGACAGTCTGTTATAGCGGTTTCCAAAATGAAATGCACAGGCCATGGGATACACAAGGTACACTGGAATAAAAAAATTATTATAACTTCAATTGTGTCTATTTTTTATCTCTTCCTTTTAAATTTTCTAGCTTTTGCATGTGTTTTATAATGTCCATTACATTAAATTTCCTAAGTCCGGATTTATTTAGATAACAATTTCTAAGTTTCAGGGGTGCACATATCCTACTGGAATGATAAATGTACACAGCTTACAGATCACTTTTCCAGCTAGCGAGTTTCTAGGATGTGTGTGCACACGAACATGCAGACACATCCATGTAGACATCAGAGGAAATACCTTAATCAAAGATAGCTTATGACTTTCCCGCTTCTTCTCTTCCTCTTTTTTTGCTGCAATAGATGCCATACGCCTTTCTTCTTCCTAAAAGACATTTTTCAAACACTATTATGAAGTGTTTAACCATTTTTATCCTAAATATCTTTGGTCTTGCAAGTACAGTGTTCCTCCTTGAGAGAAATACTACTTGCTAACAGAAAATATGCCAAATATGCCTTCAGTGAAGAAAATATTAGTACATTGTTTCTCTTTATTTATTTATTTTAGAGACAGAGTCTCACTTTGTTGCCCTCAGTAAAGTGCTGTGCCATCACAGCTCACAGCAACCTCCGGCTCTTGGGCTTAGGCGATTCTCTTGCCTCAGCCTCCTGAGTAGCTGGGACTATAGGCTCCTGCCACAATGCCCAGCTACTTTTTTGTTGTTGTTGCAGTTTGGCCAGGGCCAGGTTTGAACCTGCCACCTTCAGTATATGGGGCCGGCGCCCTACTCACTGATCCACAGGTGCTGCCCTGTTTCTCTTTATTTTCTGTTTCACTCCTAATTCTAAAAAACCTGTGAATTCTTAACTCTACTCCCAACTTGGAGATGAGATGAAACTAACTCATATAAGAAAGAAGAGAGAATGAGACGAGAAAGAAGAACAGGGGATTACATTCATATAATTTTTTGGTACACCATATGCCAATGGTTCCATATAGACTTAAACATTTTACCATCAACAAAGAAAGATAAAATGATACTTCTAACAATTTTGATTTTATTTATGGTTGCAAATCAGAGCTTTCGGATGATAAATAAGGGTAAACACCTTGTAAAACTCTCCATTGATATTAATAAATTATACCTTCTAAGATCGTTACTTTTACTTTGTTTTTAAGTTGATTTATCTAGTCTAATTACTTAAATTCTAAAAACTATGAAATACAGAGTAGTGACTATAGTTAACAATCCTGTATTATAAATTTGAAATTTGCTAAGACAGTAGATCATAAATGTTCTCACTACCAAAAAAAAGTTAATTAGGGGAGGTGACAGATGTGTTAACTAACTTGATTGTGGTAATCCTTTCACAATATGTATAAAATCATGTTATACACCTTAAATTTATAAAAACTTTTTGATCAGACTTCAATAAAGTTGGAAAAATAGCAACTCTGAAATTACATTATAGATAGTTCAGAAAATTTAAGTAAATCATTCATAACCCCAACACTGTAACTCAAATCTTAACCATTTCTATGTCTCATTTTATAATATTCACCATGAGCAAATTTTTTAAAGTTGCATCTGGACCATTTTCTCCCCTTGAAGACTGATTTAATAGACTAAATCGTAACCATCTAACTTTTAATTTTCATTGCCAAAAGATTTGTAGGTACTCAAAATGATGACACAATTTGAGAAACCAATTTCTCAACAAAACATAAGCTTGAAAATATCTTCAGAAATAGAAAACTATAACAGTCCCTTTAGTAGACTTAAAGAATAGCTCTTTTATAAATAAAAAATTACAAGAACTGAAATTTAAAATTCAATGAAGGGGGTTCAGTAGCAGATTATGCACTGCTAAGGAGAGAATAAGTCAACTGTAAAATAGATTAGGAGAAATGTTTCTATATGCTTTCATAGCACCTCATATGTCCCTATCATAGCACTGAATCTGTTTCATTTTAATGATCTCTGATCTCATCTGTCCTACCTCCCACTCTGTACAGTAAGCTCTGTGAATGCATGGACTATGTCAGTTCTTAGTAGATACTTAATAAACATATATTTAAGGAACAAACTAAAGAATATATAGCTTTCTATATCTGTTCAATAATTTCCTAAAACTGAAATGGCTAAATCAAATCAATATTTCTAGGGCTTTTGACATGTTTGCAAGTTGGCCTCCAAAATGTAGTTTTAATTTATCCTTCTACCAGAAGTCAGCATTTTATTTAAAAGCTAATGGATAGCCATAAAGAGCTACTCACCAAATAATTCTGTGTCTTCTTATACCTAAGTCACATTGCAAGAAGGGGACACTTCCTGAACCCTTGAAGTTAGATGTGGCTATGTGACTTGCTTTGGGCAATGTTATATGAACAAAAGTGACCTATTTCTTTCTGTGTGAACACTTCCAAAGAATGAGGACATTTCAGAGCAAAAATCCTAGATCACATATCTTGGGCAGTATAATATTAGGAGCCTGAAATAAATGTGTGCACACATGTGCGTGTGTGTGAGAGACAGAGAGAATAAAATATTAGAGTTAAAGAAGGTCAAAGAGGTTATGAAAATGTATTCTGGATGGTGGGCCAGAAATGTCCTCCTCAAAACAAAGAAAAGTCCTGGATTAAAGAAGTATACTTAAAAATGCATAAAGATAAAATATCACAGAGTTAAAAAGAAAACTAGGAAAGCAGCTACTACAAGACTCTAAAGTTTGGAAATGAGGAAAACAGTGGCTCACACCTGTAATCTTAGCACTTTGGGAAGCCAAGGTGGGCCTGGAAATCACGTAAGCAGAGGAGTTCAAGACCAGCCTGGGCAAGAGTGAGAATCATCTCTACGAAAACAAAAACATTAGCCAGGTGTTGTGGCGGGTGCCTGTAGTCCCACCTACTCAGGAAGCTGAGGTAAGAGGATCGCTCCAACCCAGGAGTCTGAGGTTGCTGTGAGCTATGACACCATAGTACTCTAGCCAGGACAACAGAGATTCTGTCTCAAAAAAAGTAAGAAGGAAATGAGGAGACCAGTGCCCTAATAGCATAGTAACTGATACGAAGTTGGTAATGGTCTAAGAGATGAGTCACTTATACAAGGTTACACAGCCAGTGACGGTGTCAGAATCAGAACCAGAAGCTATGTCTTACTAAAAACTGAATTCTTTTTTTGTTATAATAAAGATACATTTAAATTTATTTTGCTGATTTCAGAGAGATTTAAAAAAGAGAGGTTAGAATTATTTACTAATCTGCTATTGGATTTAGTTGTTTTGAAAGAAATGGAAATTTAATGTGATTTTGATAGATTTAAAGTATCTTTTATAATATCAAAAATGATTATTCTTAACTTTTAAAAACCAAATAGAGGTAATGAGGAGAAAAAACTAAATAAAACATGTAGAACTTTGATTCCTAGCTTTATAAAATAGCTGGTTTAATAATTATATTAAATTCCTTTCTTCAGTAAATACTAATTTAGTACCTTATTTCAGAATATAACTTACTTCAGAATAAACTTTTTAAAAGAGCAAAACATATTGATGTTCAATTGTTGACTCATCTATAAAATGTGAACTAGAAACAGATTGGCTATTCAAAGAGCCAATTTTAAACAGTACTGGAAACTGTATGGATCACGTACTGCACATACTTAGGAGATGATTTCATCAGATTTTCAAAAAGAGTTTGAGCTTTCTATTAAAGGCAGTTAGGGTTTTAGAAGAAAAGCTAAACCTTGGAAAACTGGATTTACACCAAATCAATTCAAATATTGAGTGTTTAAAGGAATTTATACATCTGATGGTTATATTTCAGCTTGAATAATTACAGAATAAACTTAGAAATAAAAATAAATCTCTAATTGTGAAGACAGGCCACAAATCTGTTGGTAGGAAAGAAAAAATACTATAAAATTCTGGCACCTTCTTTTTTGAGACAGAGCCGCAAGCTATCACCCTGGGTAGAGTGCCCTGGTATTACAGCTCACAGCAACCTCCAACTCCTGGGCTCAAGCGAGTCTCCTGCCTCCACCTCCCAAGTAGCTGGGACCACAGGCGCCCGCCACAACGCCCGGCTATTTTTTGGTTGCAGCCGTCGTTGTTGTTTTGGCGGGTCCGGGCTGGGGATTTGAACCCACCACCTTAGGTGTACGTGGCTGGCGCCTTAGCCGGTTGAGCTATAGGCACCGAGCCCTGGCACCTTCTTGGTAATAGTCCAATTTCTGGGATAAGGCTACATCTTTTATGCAGCAAAAGAAAGGGATCTACATGGGACAAAAAAAAAAATCTGTTTTTTTCCTTACTTCAGACCCAATTTTCTTTCTTTTTTTTTTTTTTTGGAGACAGAGCCTCAAGCTGTCGCCCTGGGTAGAGTGCAGTGGTATCACAGCTCACAGCAACCTCCAACTCCTGGGCTCAAGCGATTTTCCTGCCTCCGCCTCCCAAGGAGCTGGGACTACAGGCACCTGCCACAACACCCAGCTATTTTTTGGTTGCAGCCATCATTGTTGTTTGGCAGCCCAGGCTGGATTCGAACCCACCAGCTCAGGTGTATGTGGCTGGTGCCTTAGCAGTTTGAGCCACAGGCACCGAGCCGAAGACCCAATATTAAAATAGGTGCCAGTTAATTAAGCAATGTAGTGATCCAATAGGTGTTTGATAACCCTAGACCATACTCCCTTAGCAGATTATTAAGGCTCTAAAATAATGCATATAGTACATGAGAAAACATTTTGCTCCAAAATAAATAATAATAGTCCTAATATAGGCATCAATTTATTATGCAGCATTTAAAAAATAAAATGGCAAAGTATGTTTTAATAATATATTTTACAATAGTTACAAACATTATTTTCCTCAAATGTATAACATTAAAACGGACTTTAAAATCAAAGATTTTTTTTCTAAAAGAGATGGCCAATTTTTTATCCAAATAATCTTTTTAACAGAGAAAACTGATTTTTCCAGGGTTTTAGCTAGTGCTAAAGTGAAGATTAGCAGCCATGTTACCTGACTTTAGGACTAGGGATATATCAGCTGTTAAATACTGGGAAGAAAAACAAAACAAAACCCAGAACAGGGTAGGTTATGCTGCCATAACAATTTCAAATCTTACACTGGCTTAGGACAAGAAAAGTTTTATTTCTTGATCTGCAACTTTCTTCAACATAGTGGCTAAGTATTCCTGGGGGCTGTAATCTAATGGTATCTTCTACTCAATATATGCTTCTACAATGACCACCACAAAGGAAAAAAAAAATAAGAATTATGCATTGGCTTTTAAATGCTGCTTGGAAACAATATCCATTATTTCTGCTCACATTTCATTGGCCAAACATCTTCCCACATGTCAAATAGAGAAGGAGAACCAAAACC